ATGCTGGATATACAACAGTGATGCTGGCCTCGCTGACAGCCCCTGATGGCCCAGGTGGCATGGAGGTGGTCCGCAAGCTAATGGAGTTGGGCAACATTCACATTCGCTCGAGCCAGGTAACACAACCACTGCAACCACTGTTTAAACAGTTTAACAGTAATTAATGCAGTGGGGATTTTTTTTTAGGAGAAGAGAACACAGTACAGTTGTAAATGTGAAATTTAATAAACAATAACTCACCATACTGTCACCCCTCTGACTGTCTCACTATGTCTCACTATACACATGAAAATTAGTTAACTTGCTTTTTAAAAAATCAGGATATCTCAGCCTTTGCGCCATCAGTTCTTTTTTTAAATGTGTCTCTTGTTACTTCCCAAACTTGATAAAGGTGCAATAATAAATTGTGTCCTTCTAAAGCTCTAACATCTGAGATAAACTGCATCTAAATCAAAGTAAGACAGAAAAATGTCATGGTTTTTAACAAATCTCTAAATTCAAATTGTCTGTGTCTGTCATCTCCCTCTCCACAGACAGGCCAAACAGCTCTGCACTTGGCAGTGAGACACGGGCGAGTTGTGATGGTTCGCCTGCTGCTGAGCCACGGAGCAGATGCTAACATCCAGGACAGCCAGGGAACCACGGCCCTGATGTTCGCAGCTGAGAGGGGCCACACACACATCGCCAGGCTGCTGCTGGAGAGGAGCCAGTGTGACCTGACCCTGACCGACAAGGTGATACAGCAGTCCCATGGACAATTTACTTCCAATACTATCCTCTAACCTTTACAACAGAGAACAATGAGAGGTTCTGCCTTTATTGCCACCACAGGCTTCAAGTTGTCTTGTCCGGGGTACTTGTGGTCATAAAACTAAAAGAAACAAAGTTAATTTGAAAAAAAATGAATTTCAGAAAATATGGTGACTCCAACTCCATTTATCTTGAGAAATCCTGTTATATTTGTTAACAAAATGCCATATGTAATTTTCTTTTCACATAACTGAACACAAAAAGGAGCTTAGACGTGTAAAAGCTTGAATGTTTTGACTGACACTGTGCGGACGTGGGTGGACTGGCAGTCTGGATGCAGCTGAATAGAGCTTTCCCAGGATTAATCGGAGCTACAGTAAGACAAATCTCCCTGTGTTGAGATGAGCTAATCCGCTAACAGTGTCTTATCTGCCAGTCTGAAGCGGGTGGAGGCAGGGAAGAGAGCAGAGGAGAGGATGCAATTGTGTTTTAGACCTGTGATATAGTCAGCCTTTAAAGTTTAGTTTAAGAGAAGAAAAACCCACTACCACAGGCGTCCTAACTCGACTCCAAAACATGTTTCACCTTGACACAACCTCAGATTAGTTAGACTAATTAATTAAATTAAATCTTAACCCATTTATTTTAAGAACTGAAAATTCAACCTTGCACCTAATTTTGTTATTTAATCGGTCTTGTGGGAGCCTTAATTCTGCACCTTCAGACTATTCACATGAAAATAAGACTAAACCTACAGCCGTGCTGGTGACTCAGTGAGCACTGGGCTGCTTTGAGATAAATGCTAAATACTAATAATAAACTTCTGTTGGTATAATGTGAGTATATTATGTAGCCTTTAAGCATTTTAGGTTTTGCATAACATTTTTACTAAAATGCACCACGGACCACCAACGTTTGTTGCACTGTAGCGGTGCTTTAAGCTAAATTGCTAACATCAGCATGCTAACAGTGACAATGCTAACATGTTGCTGTTTAACAGACATTATTTTTACTATGTTCAGCGTCTTCGTAGCTGGTAAGCATGCTAACATTTGCTAATTAGAACTAAACACAAATGCAATTAAGGCTGATGGGAAGGTCGTTAGCAGGTATTCGGTCATAAATCAAAGTTTGGGATAATTTCAAATTTGATTAAAATGAAGTGTTTTTAAGTAAGCCTGTTAAGCCATGTTACTAGGGTTCAGAATTTAAAATCTGACAGCTGAAGAGCAACAGGAGAGGGGGAAGAGGGAGGGGATGAGGGGCCACAGGTCGGAGTCAAACACCGGGCCCCCTGCAGCAAACACTCAGCCCTGGTACATGAGGCGCCAGCTCTACCAGGTGAGCTACCAGGGCGCCCCTAAAATGTATGTTTTGATCGTAATTTCCTGTTTTTCTTTCCTTTTTGTCTTCCAGCGTGGTCGAACTGCACTCTCTATCGCCATGCAAGGCTCCCACACGGATACAGCCGCCCTCCTGCAAGCCCACGCTAAAGCTCGAGCTTTGTAGTTCTGGAAAAGAGGAAAAGAATGTGCAGACATATGATCCTCTCACATGTGCTCTTTTCTGTCTGAACCCAGTTTAATGTTGACGCTGTGTGCGTGGGTTGAGTTTTTGCTGTGATGATATTGTTGCTGAAATGTGGACACCTACATTAGCATTAGCTTGAGGGTTGGGTGGGATGACGTCATTATAACAAGGCTTTATATCATCAGTGAGTTGTGTTTGTCATTATTGCTGAGTCGGTATAAATGTGCTGTTTTCTATTGTCTTTGCTGTAGATGTTCATTGTTATGTTTGATCTTTGCACTTCCCAGTAGCAGCTTAGCTTTGCAAACTATGCAATGAAAAAATATTTATTATAATATGTTAATTATATTGGTCACATGAGTATGTTGACAATTATCTAAAGGTCTGTGCTTATAATAATAATCCAAGGTGCTTTTTTTTAGAGGAGAATTACAGATTGCTATTTCTATTCTTGCAGCAGCCGAACACTTTTTAAATAAAATGTGTGTAAAATGTACAAAGAAATGCCAAACACTTGTCTCATGGTGCATGCCGAACACATGAAAGAAAGGCAAATTTTTGGTGCCAATAAACAAACCTGTTGATTTCACTCACTAGTAATCGCTAAACTGATGTATAAACTGTCTATTTTTAATAAAAATTACAGCAAGCTGATGATATTGTGGCGTTTGAAAGAAGCAAACGTGCTCATAAATGCGTTGTCAGGCTGCATTGAAAATGCTTTTTGTGGCTGTAGTGACAAACCTGACCAGCAGGTGGCAGAGCTCCTCCATTTCACTATCACTACTGCCAAACACAATCAAACACAATAACACACGCACTGAAAGCAACAATACACATAAATCTGGAATTCTAAAATGAGCATATCCAAGGGATTAGATCTAATCCCTTTCAAGTGTGACAGACAATTATAAACATGACACCCACCGAATTGTACTGATTCCACTGTGAGAGAGGACACAATGAGATTCACCTGCAATCCAACTGTATGGCAGCTGGAATGGCCGTCAGGCGTGAAAGCAGATGTGTTTGAGTGGCCTTTGTTCTTCTAACCCCGTGGGAAACAGTAAGGGGCAGAGCTTTAGTGTTTCTGCGAGGACTTGAGATTATGTTGGTGAGATAAGACAAAAAGGATTGAGTGTGGAGACGGGGAGGAGGCTGGATTTCTGTCTGACAGAGCAAAGCCACCTCATTTCCCCTGAGGATTTTTTCCAGGCTGGCTGACTGACTGCCCTGCTGCTGTGATGACCCTGAGCAACTGTGTATCCTCAGAAAAAGAGCGAGAGATGGATAGATGGAGATGGAATCAGCTGCTTTTCTATCAATCACATGTCACATAATGTACAGTATAAGCAAAGAAACACTTTAATAAAGCTCACTGCTCTATCAAACGAACCATTATTTGTTGTGAAAGGATGACCTGTGTTTTTTTATGTGTTTTATAGGTGAACTACAGAATTAAAGCATTTGAACAATATATCCATGTGTAGGCACAGACCATGAGCCTATACCACCCTGGTATGTATAGGTTTAAATACACCATCCCCCACACAAACAGCCCTTCACGCCATAGTGAATGAAGGTGTTCATCTTCGCCTTTGTTCAGCAATGAACATCTATGACACGTATTTGTCTGCTGCATAAACTGCTGGACTACTACAAATACTTATTGCATAATATCCTAATAGGGTGTGGTAGAACAAGGAAGAGTTTGAAGGCATTTGCCTGCTACCGTTTAATAATGATAATGGACTGGATTTATCTACTACTGTTTTTCTGTCTGCTGATGAATCACTTTGTAAATGGATGAATGTGAAAAGCAGCAGAGTCGGAATGGGCTCTTGACATACTGACATACAGCTTCTTATCTGCTGTAACAGGAAAAGCACAATTCATAAGCAGTAAGCCAAAGCATGCTCAGTTCAACACATTCAGGGGTTTTGCTGCTACAGCCTTACTTGGCCTTGTATGACCTGCAGCCGATATGCGCTAATATTAGACTGTGCTGTCAATAATGACACTTATTTAGTCAGTTTGTTGGATGTACTTGTGCTACATGTTAGCAAGTCACACAAAAGTAAACACATCGTTCTGTATTGGGAGACAGTTCTCAGACAGGTTGCCTAAAGATAATGATAGCTTTAAAGCTGCATCCATGTGTTGTTTTTTGAATTAATTGAACTAAATTGAATTGTTGTGCCATTTGTGGACAGAATTCCAGAACAAGCATACAATCACACATTTGACATATGACCATTATATATATAGGTATAGCTATAAATATTGCCAACAATTACCAGCAATGTAATGAATGTAAGTCCAATATTCACACACAATTCGAGTTTTGTTATTGGTCTTGCATACATTTGGTTCATCAAAATAAAGAGCTGCAACAGACTTTAAAGATCCACGGAGCTGAAAGGGACTGCAGAGTTGGGGAAAATCTAAGTTTGTCACTTGACCCATTGCTAATATTTAAAAAATGATAAGTGCTGCTTTAAAGCAACGGATTTAAGAGAACTGAAAAATGAAACGTGCCAATAATCTGTTATTGCTATTTGTGGTCTTTGTGGCCACAGTTCAGTGTAAATTACAGTACACAGACTCACTCTGAAGATCTTAACAAACACTCAACTGTTGTCCTAAAAAGCAGTAGGTCTGTGGTATGTATGTGTGCTATTTGATATGTTGTAGAGGAAAATGAAACAGCACACATGAAGGAATTTTTCAGTCAGATTTTATATATCAATATATAGAGATATTCAAAAGTAATCCATTACAGAAAATCAAAAAGTGGAACCAGTTTGGTCTTAATGCCGTTCATCTTTGCATGTACAGTAGTTGGCTGATCCCTGTCCTTTTGATGAAAAATACGAGGGGGAAATCAAAAAGTAAACAAAAAAGGCACAAATAAACAAAAATCAATCGTCCCATTAACACCAAGGTTGGGAAGCGTGAAAGATGTGGGATTTTTTCAGAAAGGGGACACCATGTTTTACGTGGGCTCACACAGAAAAAAAGAGTTGCACACAAAAAAGAATGCTTAATGATGCACAGCAAGAAACAACACAAACCATTTTGGTGGATAATTCAGATTTCTTACAATCAGGGAATGCAGTGCTCTTCGTTTATACAAATAAATTAATATACCTGTCAACACTTTATCTAAAATCTTATGTACATCTTCTCTTTTACATAATTGTATAATACATTATCAAAAACCTTATGAAAACATATTTACAAATCAATGAATCAAAAAGCACCCTCAAAGCTTCTTCAGTGTCATACACTGTCAACACATACAACTCTCTCTCACACACACACACACTTACACACCTGTGTATCCACACACCTTCATACACTGTTTTCTTCCATGCAACACAATACAGAAGGCATTCTAAGAGGGTTGTGCAACAAAGAGCATACAAACAGTTCAAATATGGCTGTGGGATGAACATTAGCACACACATGCATAATAATGAACACACACACACACACACACACACACACACACACACACACGCAAGTACGCACACATACAGAGACTTTCAAGGTTTATGAATGGCATAACAGAGTTAATGACGGACTAAACCAGCATGAAACATGTTCACTGATAGGACAATTTGGTCTCAACCTCATTACATCACAGTCTGATTTTTGCTTTCTGTGGTTACATCACATGACGGCTCTTTTTCATCATGCAGCCACCAGCTGGGCCCTCCCACATGGCACTATCCAAAACTATCTGCTCAGATTCTCAGGAGGAGGCTCTGGAATCCAGCTTGCTTTTGCGAATGTGTGCGTGCATACGTGTGTGTGTGTGTGTGTGTGTGTGTGTGTGTGTGTGTGTGTGTGTGTGTGTGTATCTCGCCTGAAACAATGAATGGCTGCATTGTCAGCTGGTGAGCAATTATGCATGCTGTTTGTGTTTTCTGAGGGCAAGTGCACATTGTCTCCGTCCTCTGGAGAGCAGCGTGAATTTGCTATCACTTCATCCCTTGTGTATTTATGTGTGCATTTGTCACAGTCAAAAGCAGGTGATCAAATAAAATTATTAACACTTGAGGATTTTTGTCAACCATGTAACACTGCAGCCTGACTAAAAACTGCAATCTATTGCTTTTCTCAAACCTTTTAACACCTAAACAAGTCACAATAAAGAAGACAACTCTCCCTAACCTTCCAGCCTGTCTGCTTATACAAAACAAATATCTAAATACTGTATAACTCCATTTTCTTCTTCTTTCTTTCAGTCTGCAACACTGCTGCACTCTCTGGGAGGTCAAATAAACATAACCCCCCAAATCAACAGAGTTCAGCTGCACTGTGAAATGTTAGACAACTAACCCTTTGCCTCTGAACCAGAGAGAAAGCACATAATGTGGGTGGTAACTGTTCTTTAAAAGCTTAAGAAGAAAAGAAAAATCTTACAAAAGAAAGCCCATCCAGGAAAATGTTAACTGCAAAAGACAGCTCCAGTATTGGCCGTTATGACATGACATTGTGATCGATTCTAACACGAATCTGTACAGATTGTCCCATCAACGCAGATGCTGTCCCAGTTTCTGCACTCCTTCCTAAACAGTGTTCCCAGAGCTCAACGGCCCACCAGGAATAACAAAAATCCCAAATTAATACATCAAAGGACAAAAAGAGAACCTCTTGCTGGCCCCCGTCACAAACTATAAGACACACAGCACGCACCGCACTCAGTCATCTCAATGCAAAAGACTCAAAACAGGAACCAGTCTGACTCCATATTCCAGTTAAGGTCAATGCTGAGAACACATTATAACACATTAATAATCCTGTAATTAATCCTCAACATTTACTGGAGAAAAAGTAGATCCAGCTCCATCACAGAAAAGGTATGAAACAATTTTCTAAAGAATCATGTCTTATTAATTCTGCTGTTTTTCAAATGGAAATTGGCATAGGACATTGGCTGTGAATGGCTGCATGTAACACTTGATGATATGTTGTTCGTCCCTTCTGCAAACTCAGTCCCAGTCGCTCCTGACCTCACTGTGTGTGCGTGTGCCTGAGCGGCCATCTTCCCCTGGAATCCGCTCTTGAGGGTCACTTTGCAGTGGAGAGCATTGGCTGCTCTGTGTACCAGTGAGTCCCTGGATCGGGCATGCTGCCCCCGAGTGGTAGGGCGATGAACTGTGGGCAGGTGCCACCTCCTGCTCCTACTACTCCCATGTTGACGCCCTGCGGGTACGGGTGGTGGTGCGTGTGATGTCCCATGCCATCAGTCCGCCCGATGTGGATCTCGTCCTCCTCGCCCTCGCCAGTGGTTTTGCGGTAGACGGGGTTGTCGAAGTTCATGCTCTTGGTGGAGTTACGCCTCCAGTTACGCCACACCAGGTAGACTCCAGCGCACACCAGGCCGAACACCACTGTGGCAATGATAGGAACTGCATGCGTTTAACACACAGCGGCAGGGACACGGGAAGTGGGGGAGCGTTAACAAGGCATAACGAGTCCATGGCATGAAATGAGAGGTACGGAGAGGAGCATAACAGGCATGCAGGGGACAGAAAGGGCAGGGGACAGCGAGAGAGAGGTTGTGTGTGTGGGTGGCTCGGCTAAACATCAGGTCAATGTCGGGTCATGCACCAACCGACTGATTTTGAACACAGACTCTAAATGAGCTGTGGGAAACACCATTAGTGGCCCGGCAGTGGAGTAAATTAGCTTTAAACTATCCTTGGGGAGCAAAAATTTCAACTATCGCATTACATCACAATCTCTTTGCAGCTCATCCTCTGCAAATGTGTCCTTGAATAAGCAATGTAATTTAATAATGCTTTATTAAATTACAGCAATAAAGCACCAATAAAGCTTTCATGCTTTATTGGTGCTTTTTCTCTCTCTCCTGTACTGTTTATTTACCTTATAAATCATATATACAATCTATCTGAACTAATTGGTGGATTCATTTTGGTTTTCTATTAGTTTGCTTGTTTATACACAGAGGAGGAGGAAATATTTTTTTCCTACAGTTTCTACTATGCCATTTTTTACATTTGTATTTAGCTAAAACGGGAGGACTCCGAATAAACCTTTCCTGCTTCCTTCGTCTCCTGAACTGTTCTGTTTTCTACATGTATGTATTTTGCTTTGTATTATTGTGCAAATAAACTAAACTAGACTAAAAACTAAACTACTCATTCTATAATAAGTGGTGTCAAAGCAGGACCAACTTTTCTCAAAATAATTTTAATAATAATTAAAATAATCATTATTTTATTATATTACTTTGAGTTCCATTATCGACAGTAACGGACACATTTTCTGAAAGAAAGATGTTGCTGTTGATTTTTCTAAATGTAATTGTTCAATGCTCTGATGACCATAAACAAAATTGACAGTGACTGTCCAATCATCATGTCTCTTGTCAGAATTTAGACTCCAGTAACCCGTTATCTGAGACAGCATTACGTTTGCCAAATACTTTAGTGAGAACTCATATCTCAAGCCATTTCCAAATGTTTAAAGTGACAATGTTTGAACAAATAACAGTCCAACCTTACATTTTTCCTGAACATACTTACTAGCTCTACACTGTAATAAAATAACAATGCTGTTACTATATTTCTTCTACATGCATCATCAGCTGGTAAAGATAGTGACTTTTGTCATTGGACATGAGGCTTTACCCACAGTTTTTTAGCACAATATCACATATTTAGCCATAGAGTATTATCTATTTTAGCCACAGACGGCATTTTTAACCATCAAACATTAGCTTCCAAGCTACAGCTGATCAAATCTACTAGCTACAGTTGTCATTTCTGAAGCCAAAATCAACAGTTGTCAGCTAGCTAGCTGAAAAGTGCATTTGTGTCACCAGAAAACGAACAGAAAGCTTGACAGGTGTAGCAACAGTAACTAAGGGGGCGGGGTTTTTAAAACGTGAGCAAATAAAACCAAATCTTTCTAGGTGGCTAGATACCACTAGTGGTAAGTGACAAAATATTTCCTAGTAGTGCACTAGAGTGTGTGAACTACAGAGACTAAAGGTCTACTGACAAGTCTGGCTGCAGCAGAACCCAACACAACAACACAGTGAGAAGTGAATAATGCAGTGTGGCAGCGATGTCAGACTCACAGAAATATGACTCTTGAGAAACGTCAGCGAGGAAGACCTGTGGGCCAGGCTTCTCTCATCCTGCCAGAGCAGGGTCAGTGTGAATGGACTACAAACACAGTGGCCATGGGCAGGAGGTAGACAGCAGCTGTATGTAGCCCTGCAGGCCTTTAGTGTGGAAGGACACACACAGACAAGAAGGCTCCGGGTGACTTACCAATGGGGATGACCACTCCCAAAACAGCCACTGTCAGGTTCTCGCCCAGGAGGAAATGCTCGCTTCCAGCTGAAGAGAGAGGTGAAACAAGAGAGAGGAGTTAGAGAGAGGAGTTAGAGCGAGAGTCAGAAAAGACAGCAGAGCGAGAGAGGATAAGAGTGAGAAAGCGCACGGGATGAAAAAAAATGTGTGAAAAATAGAGTGAGAGATAAAGCAGGGGAGGCAGGAAGGGAGAGCCGGTGGAAGAGAAGGGCGATAAAACAGAGAGGCGGGGAGCGGGTCATGCATGCACGGCTGTGAGTGTTTCACAAAGAGAGACAGATAGTGAAAAAAGCGGTTGGAATAAAAATGAAAGGAGTAGAGAAAAATGATGAGTTGCTTGGCATTTGCCAGAGTGCGACCTTGATACTAACCCTGACCTTCTACACTTCATGTATCCAGGGTCCATCTCACACTCATTTACATATCACATACTTACAAACACCCTTATTTACTTGCAGTCACACAAGTGCATACATGTCCCCGCAGACATACAACCGCCTACAGCCCACGCGGGGCACAATTTATGGAGGAAAAGGCGACATTTGCAAGACGACAAGATACCATCCATCACTCCTATTAAAGTCAGTCGAGCGTGGTTGTTAGGACTTGTAGGTAACTCACTTTAATGTCATCATTACAGTGAGGGTGAGGTTGTTAGATACATTATGAGTGTGAGAAGGACTATGGGATGTGGTACTTGGCAGGAGATGAGGACACTCGGGTGAAAGTGCAACTTTATCAGAGGATTAGGCCCGATCTCTTGTTAAGTCCTGAATGGGCCGCTCTGCCCTTTCCAAATCATATAGAGGACCATGGGGGTCACATGGAAAAAATTAATCACATAGCACTGGACTTATATTGTGCTAAATGAGAATTTATGAGTATTTGTGGTAGTATTGTCAGTGTCTTCACACACAAAATCATATTTTGAATTCACAGCCCACTTACAGTGCTGAGAGACGCTGCTGTCCCCCGCAGGAGTGGTGGGGAAGACCATCGCGGTGGCGGTGGAGTGGGAGCCCAGTGCCTTTGACTCTTGTGATGACATAGGCTTAAGAGTGGAGAGTGGTGTGAGTGGATCAGGGGCACCAGAGGGAGCTGTGGTCAGGTGGGGGGTGGCGTCTGCCTGTGATACTGCCCCTGAGGGAGGGGGGAAGTCTTCTGCAACTGTGGCTCTGGTGCCAGGTGTAAATCCAGTAGGAGGTGAGGATGTCGGCGTCATGTCGCTTCTTGGTGCTCCTGCAAAGACAGGAAGAGTAGAGTAGAACGCTTTAACTCAAGACATTGAGTATTTTATATTTTACTTTAAATATTCACCATTAAACAACCCCACAATGGTCACACACTGTTTGATAAAAAGGTCAAAGTTCAAACCAGTTAGATGAGCACAGATATACAGATCTCTCATGTATTTAGTAAACTACATATATAAAAACATAGTATATCTAGTGATAGTGATTGTAGCCTCTTTACATAGTTAAATACTGCTTTATATTTATGTATTCACTGATATTTCTGTATGAAATTACATATGACTGTGGTGATCTTTTGTGATTGACATAATGGTGCTGTAAGAGCCATAACAAACATGTGAATATCAATGAGTACTTGTAACGTGCACATGAACTCAATATACAGCAGTGCTCTTTTAAGTCATGCATTAAATATTTCCTTTGTGCATCTAATGATGCTTCTTTCAGTCAGAAACAGTCTTGTTTATAATTATGGTGAAAACAACTGATCTTGGGTCTGTTCATAGCAGCTGTAGGGGGGTAGCTGCTTTGACAAGATAGCATGGACATCATACATCATAATGCAACATCATGAGCTATACAAAGGCAGTATGTGTTCCAGAGATGTCGTTGTAGATTGCATTACATTGCATAGAGGTCCGTGTTATTGTATCCACTGCCTGTATTTGTTGCTTAGCAACTATCGTTTAAGTGATATGTTCAATAACTATACTGCTTAGAGGGAGAATATTTAATCATTTATTATTAAAGGTTATATATATGAGATTTAAAACATTAATATTGCAGCAAACAACTATTTGCTATGTGAGGATACAGTGGAGAAGACCTGAAAAAGAACAATTCAGTCACACTCGCTCTGTGTGTTGGGCTTCTCTGTGTTTTCTTTACTTAGCTGCGTCTGCCCGCTAGTGCATGTAAGTCCATCTGTGTGAAAATGTTGGTTTTGAGGAGGTTGTTTCTTCTTTCATCTAACTGGGAGAATTGAGCATTTATTTTGGCCAAACCAGAGTTGGTGATAGTTGGAACAGTGGAAAGAATAACAAAGATGTTTTTTGTGAGTTTTATTTTGTTTCTCTCCAGTTTGAAAGAAGCGTGTTTAATGATTTGCAACATAAAATGACTTGTTTTTGCCAATGGAGTCTGGTAGCGAGTATTAGTGATATAGAGGCTGTTCCTGTTTAAACAAAGAGGATCTTTCTCTTAAACACAAATGTCTATCTCTGTAGGGATCCATAATGTCAGACACTTGGAATAACAATCTGAGCCTGTTAGTAGTCGTACACCTTTGTCCCCAAGGATTACGTCGCAGCCATTGCAGTCTGTTTCACAGCCATGTAGGGCCAGAATATCTTCACATTTAACTGAATTAAAGATTTATTTCAACCAAACCAGAGCTGGTTATTGTTGGAACAGTGGAATAACTAACAAAGACTGTTTTGCTGAGTTGTGTTTTGTTTCTGTGCAGTCTGATCTGCAAGGTAAAAGGTTTTATCAATGGAGTCTGGTGGGCTGTAGAACTCATTTGTTTGTCTGAGACGCTGGTGCTTTGGTGCAGGGTTTCTTAAATGGGGGCCACATTTCATATTCAATATTCCTATTTTGTTTCCTTTTTCTAGACAGAAATGATGGGGGGGGAGAAAGGGGATGACACGCAGCGAAGGGGCACAGGCTAGACTCAAACCCTTGGCTGCCGCAGCAAGGCCTCAGCTGCACACAGGGCCGCAGCTTCACCAGGTGAGCCACCAGGGTGCCCCCCGAATATTCCTATTTTCAATACAACTGTTACGTGCTGTTAACTGTCCACTGCAGTTGCCTCTGTGCCACTGAGAATGACAAAGAAGCACAAGCACATGTTTCTCCCTTAACTGTAACTGAAACCTATCAAAAAGATGTACTTTTTATTGTACTTTTTTTTTATATAGGCATATTTTTACAACCAAAAATCTTTTGCCCTGGTCAGGGGGTAGTCTGGGGCTACAATAATGAATCCGCAATGCGCTTCAAGCATAACAGTGCTTACTTGAATAAAACTATACTATACTTATACTGAGCTGGTAATAACACAATATAGAAAACAGGCAGGATTACCAAGTGTTGTGTCTTAAGTAGGATTTGCCAGATGCATCTTAAATTGTCTCAATAATGTTTATTTTATGAATATTCTTCTCCTGCCTTATCTCATTGTTTCAGCACATTTTGCATTTTCTGTTTTGCTTTGTTGATTGTTGCATTTTGTAACTGTGTAAAAAAGTGCTATATAATAATTGAATTTATTATTTTCCTGATAACACTATCTCCATTGGGATAATGCACTAAGCAGTTGTCAGCACCAGCATAAAAGTCTCTACAATTTTTAATCCAATCCAATAAAAACAAATAAATATATAATGAATATAAAAAAGGGCTTCCTTAAGTGAAGCAGAATCTGATTATCTACACAGTAAGCACCGTGGCGCTCTGCCCAACAAATCCCTTTAGGTGCTATTGATTAGTAAATGGTCTCAATTACCACTCATAAACACGCTCACCTGGCACACAGCCCCTCATATCAGGCCCCAGGTCCTGTCCGTCAGGGCAGGCGCAGGTGTATTTGGGCGAGTGTTCGGTAATCTGTGGAGCCTTAAGACACAAGTACTCACAGCCTCCATTGGCCACACTGCCCAGATTACAACTGTCTGGGCCTGGAGAGAGAAAGAGGGAGACATGGAGAATTACACAGTTACGGTTATATAAATAAGATTATCACTTATTTAACATTGGGAGATAGCAGAGAGTCAGAGAGAGACAGGAGAAGTTTACTGTTCTCCACTGCGAACACTCCTGAATTCCCTTTCAACAAAGCCCATTACTTTGCATAAACAAAATCTGAAAGAATACAAAGAATCAAAACTGGCAACATACTTGTTGTAAATATTAAGCAGTTCCTGTGCTACTGTGCCAGGCACAACTCCACTGTGTTGATCCTTAAGTCTTGTTTAGATACAAACTGGGAAAGACAGGGATGTATGAAGATCGAAGTGGAAGGACGGTGATGAAATACAGTGAAAGATTGAAATATAAATTGGCATGGAGTGGAAGGAAGAAATAAAAAGAGACAGAAAGGCAGAGATAGATATGGAAACTGACACACAAGAAAGGAAATACATGGCTATCACATTCATGATTAAGAGCTCTGTTGAGTTCAACTCAAATCTGGATTGTCCTGTTAGAGAAAATCCGGTTGGAGGCACGGTTTTGACAGATGTGTGAATGTACTGCTGCTCCCAATGCTTTGATCACTCCACCAGTGACAAGCCTCCATATCATTTATTCATTTGCCTGGGTCGACACAAACCCACAGAGGAAAAGTGGTCACAGAGATGCGACTCAGCTCACACAATCACAATGAGGGAAGGAAAGTGAACGAAAACCAACAGATGTCTCCCTCACTCATAGTGTACACACACCTTGCGGCTGTAGGAGCTGGTGGAAGACCACAATGTCATGGGGGTCGTTGAGGTTTTCCGCCAGCGTGTGGATGTCCTGTCCGGTCAGCCTGTTGGCCATGAAGACCGCTGCCCTGTCCCTGTCTGTCCAGTAGATACGATCCTGAAACACAGGGAGAATCATTGTCTTAATATGGGTAACGCACAGAACAAGTTAGTCAGGGGAGTGTTTTTGGTTTGAACCTGAGAGCGAGTATTGGCAAACAGCCAAAATCCAACAGCTCGGGTGGTAACCTCTGAAAGCCAAACAACTAGCACTTATAACTAATCTCCACAATAAATAATTTAAGAAGATGGGTCACTTTGTGGCTCTTGGGAAACTTGGAAGCGCATGCTTGCAAACCTTGTTAAAATGTGCATTTCATTTTTTATTTCACTTGACGTTTAACTTGGAGTGATTTTATTAATCTTTTTATTCTGTTGGTAGTGCACCTTGTGACTTGTGCACCTTCACCATTTTTAGACACTTCAATAGAATGTCTCTAGGGATGTCAGCCCACCACTTTGGTCCATACTAATATATATTTAAATAATATCTCATTTTAATATCTAAATTTGGTACAGACATTTTTAGTCCCCAGAAGATAAATCCTACGAAAATCCTACTTCTACATTTTCAAGTTTTCCTGCTGGACACAAGATGTCTCCTACTTCACTGTAAATTGTTGTGAATTGTATTGTCAGTGTATGTCCACTGGTGGCTTCAAGTTTCTACATGATGCATGCTGGACCAGGACTAACTTCCAAACCCTTTTTTCATAATACATGCTTGCAGACTGCCCCTAAAACCAGATTTTCAGTGGGCACAGAGAAACTTTCCACTTTCAGCAGATGGATGTGAACACAGATTTCTAGTGTCAAACTCTGCACATACATCATTCTGCACAGTGAAGATCAAACATCCAACTGTAGGAACAAGGAGGGACTTTTTAATCAAGCACCATAATCTGGTCTAAATTTCAACCTGTCCAATGCTTTGGTTTATAATCAAATGCATGGAAAACAACTTATATCCGCCCCCGTTGTACTTTGTGTTTAGCGTTAATGGCAGCATGTTAACATACTAATACATTATACCTACTTTGCAGCAGCATGTTATCATTGTCACTGTAAGCATGTTAGAATGCTGATGTTAGCATTTAGCTCTAACCAAGAGACTGTACTAAAAATGTATTCATCTTCAGGTGACAGAAAGTGTATGAATAAAATAGAGGAACAATAGAATATAACATACAGTCCAGATGACTGAAAACAAACAAGGGGACAAAATTACCTAAACAGAGAGACCTACACAGGGCTAACAGCTGTTAATTATTTGCTCAGACAACTCAGAAGTCTAATTTATCTGAGAAAAAACAATAGAAAGAACAATAGTGCGAGTGATATAATATGCACTGATAAATATTTGTTCCCACACATAGTCTGATTCATTATCTTTTGCAGAAGAGAGAGAGAATGTTAATTTGGTGCAAATAATATGAATCAAGAAGATGCATATGCAGAGGTTTAATGGTGACTCAGACATTCGTTTTAATTCAAATGGAGCCGCAGTGGAACAACAACTACAAAGCAAAACAAAACAGCAGGCATGTAATAAATGGGACTGTGACAACTTGTTATCGAAGATTAAATCCATTGGTTTTCTTTTTATAGCTTTCAAGTTTCTGCATATCTTTTGTGGTTCCTTACAGCATTTGGTCTTAAATGATTAAAACACATCCTATTTAGATCCAAATATAGTATCTCAAAGGCACATTTAAACCAGGCATATTGTTCAGTAATTGATTTGTTTGCTTTGTTTCCCTATTTCACTCCCTCAACAGTTTAAGAAGACAATTTTGGAGCTGACATTTTTTGTGGTTGCCTTAGAAACTACAGGCTAATCCCCAGTGAGCAGCGAGACAATATGCCTCGCCACACGAGTGTGTATGTGCATATTGAGTCAGTCATTGAGTCAGAAAGAGATGATAATGTGATGTACACTACAACAAGCTCCACTCAATAAGACGGAGGTTGTGTATGTTCAACATCCTGAACACGAAGGTCACCTTGTAGTCACAACAGGGCAGAGAGCAGAGAAGCCCCGGATCGATTATGTATTACACCAGAGGGAATTTATCATCATTTCTAAGATTTACACTACAGTTCTGGCTGCAGGACTAACAGCAGAGTTCAGTAAAAAAAAAAAAAAAAACTCAAGGTTATGCTTTTGACAGCTCTATACTCTATTGGTATTTTCATTTTTAAAGTTTAAACCTGTAAGAACAACAAGTGAGGTTTATGTGTTGTTATAATGCATTTTACTCAAGTACTATACTAAATTACAAACTTTTAGGTACTTGTACTTTAGTTGAGTCGTTCCATTTTATGCTACCTTACCCCTTACCCTATTAAAGGTGATGCATTTTTATAGAATAAACAGTAGTTTGCAGTTTATATTGGCTCCACCTCAAACTGCTACAACAGCAGTTTACACATTAATGAATCAATAATAATCCAGTATTATAATCCAGTATGACGACAAAACACTGAACAGGGTCATGATAATGATGCTAATACCTCTGTACTGTTACTGTACTTTTACTTGGTGGTATTACTACTTTTACTTAAAGGACCAGTGTGTAGGATTTGGTGGGATCTAGCGGTGAAGCTGCAAATTGCAACCAACTGAAAAACTTGCCTGAGCTTGCCTCCAAGTGTGTAGGAGAAACTACAAGGCCTTATCTAGAGTGTGTGTTCGAAGGTAATGAAAACACAATGATTCATATTTCCAGGTGATTATACATAATGAAAACATACCTATGATCATTATATCCATTTCTGCCAATAGATCCTCATAAATGTTACACACTGAACCTTTAAATAAAGGACCTCTATACTCTGTCCACCTCTGTTCTTTATAAAGTTTCTTGGCAGAGTTGAGGTTTCTTTACTCGTTTTACTATTAAAGGAGGGACATCCAGTGCGGTGACCCAGTGCAAGTTTCACGACCCCTCAGCTCACGGATGTAATTCAAACCCAAGTGGATATTTTCAAAAACCCATGCTTGTAAATCTGGTCTGCTGCTGAATAAAATCTGTACCTATACTCCCACTGAGACAAGCTCCCCTTGAGAGGAGTCCCACTGGGGAAAAAGCAACCTGGGTGATGTCATTACCACTCATGTGAAACTGACTGGGACTTTGCTGCAGCAACAGACATGAGTTTGTAAGTAAAAGCATGCTTGCACACAGGCACAAACATACACACCACATAGAAACCACCAGCAGCACTGGCTTGGCACAAAACCAGATTTAGGTTTCTGTGATGGACATATCATACACACAGGAATGCTGGCTGATGACCAAGGCATGAGTGTGTGGGTTGCTTTAGGCTCCTCACTGTCTTCTGTTTAGTATGCTCTGCCAGGCAATTCCAGAAGGGAATACACAAGGACACACACACACAAACTGAGCATACAGTAAATTGAATTGAACAGTCATTACACTCAAACTCCCAGTCACACTGCAGGCCCCTGTGAGGCTGACGAGAGAGATGTAGATATGATGAGATGTGGGTTGCTGGATGATATCACAGACAAAAGTCATTGAAATCTATTGCACACAAACCTCAAAAACAGCCAGAGCGTAGGGGTGACCCAGTCTCTCTGCAGACGACATATGCGTCCTTCTGTGAGCTCCGTTCAGGTCCACGCTGGCTATAAGGTGAAGCTTTGAATCCACCCAGTACAGACGCCTGTTGGCTACATCTGAGAAACACAGACACACACGGATAAGATTTTCCTGAAGCGGAGTAAGAATTGATTGTCTCTAAGCACTCTGACCAACAAATCCCTTTAGGTGATATTGATTACGTTTTAAAATGTCAGATTCCCACGATTACACCGCTGCAAGTTTTACTGTGTCAATCTATAACTTCTTACACACTTCAAATATCACTCAAACTGTAATAACTTCATAAATCAATTTTTTGCCATCAACATTTAACATTTACCCATACTATTTTAATTACTTTTGACCTTTACCTACAATGGTTTGATTAAGTGCATCAGCTCTTTTTCAGGACTGTGCTTCAAACACAACAACTGCCCAAAAAGTTAAATATAGCACTGTGTAATATATAATCTAAGGACAAGAGCTGAAAAACAGCGGTTCTCCTCTCACCTAGAGTGATGCCATTGGGCCATTCAATGTTATCAGCTACCAGCACCTGTCGGTCCACTCCATTCATCCCGGCTTTCTCTATCTTGGCTCGCGTGCCCCAGTCTGACCAGTACATAAAGCTGGATTGAACAAAGGAAACATACTTATTGTGTTATTATGTTGTGTTCATGTAGTGCTAATCTTAGAATCATATAGAGAACTTTAAGACTGCAAAAAATAGGACAGGGGAAATGAGGGGGATATCAAAATAGCTTTGAAAACAGACAGAACACTATAGCAGGGACAATACAGTCCATAGTTTGATGTCTGGGAATATCACCTGTAAGAATTGTGGAACTGTTGTTTTGAAGAAACAGAAAGGGATGAAATTTGTTACAAAACCACATGAGTGACAAAAGATAACTGCAGCACATTCAAAGATCTGTGTACGACGCACTTTACAAGAGCTGTCCATTCAGCACCACAAAATCAAGACACAAGTCAAAAGACCAACAAAGCAGTACCCCTATTATCTTCACGCTAATGCTCTTAATACTTCACTGTTATCTCTCAGTTGTCTTCTGCTTGAATTTGTATTTTTCTGTCAGTGTCGGACATTTAGTCCTTGCAGGATTGTTATGTCGATTCCAAATATGTTTATTGGCAATTGTCAGTGTTTTGTCACCCCATATTTCAGGTTTGTTTACAGAAACTTTCTTTTGCTCTCCAAGAGCCCATTATGTCATAATTAGCTGTGCTAATTTACATCATCAGTGTGAGTAAATACTCTGCTAAATGGAAAACAAGCAAACTTATGCAGCCATGGTGATTTGTGGTAGGCTTAAACCAAACCCCAAATGTTTAAACAACCACATTTAAAAGCTGTTATTGAATGAGTTCTGTATAGTTGGAATGCTTGGAAAGAAATATTAGTCAGCAATCACAGCAGAAAAATACACAATGATTTACACCATCATTTCTATGCAAATGTTTATTATTATTACTCATTTGGTGTCACTGCAAGAAATCTGTGTGTGCTGGATTCCGGCTGGGCAGTTATGATTGGATCTATAACGTGCAGAATGTCTCACTGTGTCTGCCTCAGTTTAGGCTATGCGCCTGATTATTTTAGTTTATTTTTGTGCATATTTGTGCTCATCTGGGTTTGGATCACCAGAACAAAAAAAGCTGCAGAGGCACAGGCTGGCACAAATTCATAAAGCTTTCCAGATTAGGAGCGATCATCTAGGACAGAATTTCTAAAAAAACTATTGAGTCAGGATGCTAAATGGGTCACAGGCTTGTTACTCTGGGTTCCCACATACAGCAACAAGAGTTCTCTTGTGTTTATCATTAGACATGGTTCTAGAAGAGGATTATGTTTATTCAATCCCTGGGAACCCTGGCTGAAATCACTTTACAAATCTCTATCTAGGGTCATCGACCATCGTATTCAATATTATAGAACAGGAAAAAAGAGATCAGTGTAGTGTCTGCCAGCATGTTCAAAGAGATACAGAGGAGGGGTAACCCACATAAACTCAGTTTGACATTATTTTATGCTGACATACTGTAAATTGTTATGTAAATTCATTGTGTACAGTTTATTAATAAGCATACTTTTTGAAGTTCAAAATGAAATGTGCAGGTCAGTGGATGCTAGCATTGTAATGCCCAGTATAGATAATTGTTTAACAACCATAACTATTGATCCTGTCATTGTTTCTATCTTCAGTATTGGGTATTGCATAATGTGGTCAATGCTTGATGTCAGAGCCTGGTTTCAATACATTTTGTATTGTGTTCATGGACAAAGAAACACACATACACAAGTACACACATCTCCTCCTCCTTACCCGTGGTGGGGATCCAGCGCTATGGCCCGGGGTTCACTCAGGTCGGTGTTGATGAGGACGCGTCTCTTGGTGGCGTCCACTGAGGCCACAGAGATGGACTTGTCTCCTGAGTCTGTCCAGTACAGGTTGTGTTGGAGCCAGTCCAGAGCCAGACCCACGGGGGCCTGCAGCGAATCCACCAGTGGCACCTGCTGGGAGGGGTCACTGGCCTCATGGATGAAGGCACTGCAGGGGGAGGGCCATAAAGGGAGTGAGGGAGGAGGCAGTATTTTGAGGGGAGGAGAATATGGAAGCCATGATCTACAGCAAGCCAGATGTTATTGCAAAATCGATGTGCAGTGGAAGAATGCTGACTGCCTGGTGGGGCCCTATTTTGTGATAATGAGTCTGTATACACTATTCTTATTATTATATGCCAACCTACTAAAAAGATTTATCCTTTAAAAATATTGACTTTTAGTGATTTCATTATGATTTCATTACACGTTTTATAAACTTTTCCCAAAAAGTAGTTAGTTGATGTAACTATATAAAAACAACTGCAAACACAGCTGTGAATGCAAATCTAGTGAAAACCATGACTGAAGGAATAAATGAATAATAATGCAATTAATTTGCTTAATTATGTTTGTCTGAAGTAAGTTAAGTAAAAAATAAAAAAGTCATTTTGGTACATTACTTTGATAAATTGGGAGTGGATATATAAGCACATACAGGACAGTGACAGGACAAGTAAATAGCCTAAAGATTGTGTATCATAACGACTGATGTGTATAGTAATTCTCCACTGTGCTGTAAAGGGACTGCTGAATGGAGAATGGGTCTGTGTGTGAGCTGTAGCCTTGGGCCATGCGCTGAGCAGGTTCATCCGGGGGTTAGCGTCCTTCTTAGGTGGACCACTTATCAGAATAGACAAGGCCTAACTCAGGGGTTGCCCCTGCTCGCTAATGATTTGACCCCAGCAGAGGTGTGAGGTGAGGGCCAGGAAGCTGTGCTCCCGAACAGGAATTTCAGTTTTAGTTTCCCCAGAGATCTTCTCTCTTAACATCCATTTTATAAAGAGAACACAGTGCTCCAATTAGAAAACACTCTGGGGAGAAAATGTAGTTGGGATAACAATAGGAACGGTGGAATTAATCTAAAATGATAGCAAGCCTGAGCCATCAACTCAGCTGATAAAATATCAAAAACATCAAAAGACTAGTAGATGCTCAGTACATCAAGAGCAGGAAAATCATGTTAGGGTGCAACAATATAATATTAAGCATATCAAGTGTTTGTAATGTCACATTTTGACTGAAACCTTCACATGTTCCAGTGGTTCATCTTTGAAAAAAAACGGGATACATCAGTAAGTCTACCTAGTTAGAATAAGAGGTAAGTATGGCTTAATATATTCAAATTTCATTTATATTGCAGACGTTTTGATAGAATTATTTCAAAATAGACATAAAAGATTATGACCACTTTTTAGTAGACTAAGAGCCTGTTTACACCTGGTATTAACATGCATCTCGGGTGATTGGATCACAAGTGGACAGCTCTGTGGAATCAACCACTAAGACAAATTGTGATTGGATCACCCAAGATTCATGTCAATGCCACGTATAAACAAGGCATAAAGAATTGTAGGATTTATGGTTCATGCTGCAATGAACAACATCAGATACGACATGATACACTTATTGGTTTCTGATCAACATTTGGAGCTGGTGGCAGTAACGACGTAGGTTTCAAATTCTTCCAGAAATTGGTTTTGCAAATGTTTTATGAAGAAGGAAATACATTCAACATATATATTTAATACGGCCAATTAAAAAAGTTGTACTGTTTCTGGTTAGTAATTGTGGCTTTTTGCTCTAAACTAAATTTTCTGTTCTTGGTCTACCTGTATATTTTCCGGTGAAAGCGGTCACACCAGAAGATACGGTTGTTGGCCACGTCCAGGTCCAGGGCCACAGCATTCTTCTGGGTGGACACCACTTGGTTGTAGTCCCTCTTCACCAGGTCGATGCGTCGGATCTCATGACGATTGGTGAACAGCAAGTAAGGACTCTTCCCTGCACACAAAGCGGAAAATATTTATTTGACGTACTGCTTTTGTGAAAATGGGCACAAAGGCCAGTATGAACACATACTTCAAGTATGGGTGAGTTTAACTGGCCAGAATTTACAATCCCAGTCACAGCTCAAAGCAATCTAGCAAAGAGTCTGAAGCAGGATCAATACAATGTTAGTAAGGGGAATACATTATTGGGAGGTAGATTGGGAAGTGCTTCAATAGTGGCTTGTCAGATCAGCTTTGACAATTTGGAAAAGGGCCAGAAGAAGGGTCCAAGCCAGTATCTCATATTAGAAAACTGTTCCCATCCAGAAGCTGCACAGATCATCAAAAAGAGCATCAAACATGTTTTTGTGCAGCACTCAAGACCATGCTGTGTCAGGGAATGATGGAGCCATTCCTCTACAGTAATAACACTGAGGCTTCACCACAGTATCAAAAAGCATTGCAGCTTATTGTGCTGCTGCACATTTGTAGAGCTGAAGTCGATAGTCTAAATGTCATCTTTTAGCACAGATAAATAACACAACAAAGCCTGTGTGATACAGCTCAATATCCTCCCCTAACAAGAGTGTGGGGACAATAATCCTTCATTAAAAACTGCTGAATAGTTTCTGTATTGATCAGTGTGTCTGCATGCATCATTAAGCTGTACGCTCCTTATTATCTTCTCCTTGCAAATATAGATCAGAAGTATCTTAGCATTTGGCTGCACCTCTTTAAACAGCAAGCTGTCAACTTTCACACAGGTGGTAAAAATAAATAGACATGAATAAATGCACACACACACACACACACACACACACCAGTAATTTCCTCTGAGGGCTAATAAACAACCTTGAACAAAGTTAAATCTGACAGATTTCTTTACCCTTGTCTTAGCCACCTAACACAAAACAAGAAGGATTAGTTAGCAATATTTCTTTCCCAGGATGACAAAGTCATGACCTGCCCTACTCTGCCTCTGATTGGCTTACCCTGACATTGTCTCCCTAACCTTAACCATGACTTCATCACCCTGGGGAAAAAATCTGGCAGTCAGTTACCTCAATGCACAACTGCAACAAAGTTTAACCCACAGACAGAAACAGAATCATGTTAAGCGTTAATATTGTATCTTTTCATGTTAATTACAGGGGAAGCTATGTTGCTTGGTGATGCTAGTTACAGCTAGCTAAGTGTTTACTCATAAACCAAATTTTGACCTCATGATGATGCTAGATTAGAGGGGATTACTAGTGATTATAATTTATCCTGAGGGAGACATGAATGTGTTTGATTTTATTTATTATTATTTTATACATTTCATGGCAATCAATAAAATTTTACATCTCAGTCTGGGCTAAATCGGCGGACCGACAGACCTACAGACCGACATTGCTACTCCTAGAGCTATGCCGCCAGCATGGCTAAAAATATAAACCGGTATTTGCCTCCAGCCAGAGCAATAGAAGAGAACCGTAATGGATATTTGCATACTTGATAAAAAATTACACAAAAAACACCACACTGTCATAGAGATTGACATAAAACATTAATTTCAGGTACTGTACATACATAGTTTTGTACCTTTGTCATGCTACAGTACTAGAAAAAATAGCTATTATTTGTCCATGTCTCATTTTGGGTGCATTCACACCTATTTTTAGAGCTGTCCGCTAGTGATAAGGTCACCCAGGATGCATTTTAATTATACCCAAACCTGAACAGGGGGCTTTTACATTAGCATGTCTTTATGTTTAGTTCCCTCTAATTGTGGCAGGAAAAAGCCAAGTGGGTGACAGATACACTAACAGTGAATGCCTGCAGGGAAGGTTTTATCACTCTGGCTAGCAACTACAGCCCACCTTTGTCTTGTAACATCTATATTGAGCCTATCTTCTTTCTGACATGGTAATGGGATGGCAGCTGCAGCCAGTTATCTCTGGAGGCAGATATGATATTCTCTCATTAATGGCTCGCTTGCTTCACCTTCACTTTTGACAGTGTGTGTTGTAGCCTCATTGTATTATCGTACTCCTGCATGTTCCTTCTTTCTTCCCTTTCCTTCCTCTCCCAGCCCAAACTGAATGATGACAGTGCTGCTCAGGACTAAGTGTTCTCAAAAACTGGCCATTACAATGACAGCATTTCCAACCCCTCTAAGAGGAAAATGGTCCCCTGCTGGTGTTATGGGCTGCCACAGCAGTGTTCGTTTTCATTGCATCAAAACAACCGGTGGAACTGCTGCATTCACAAGGATTCTGCTTTTGCGGCTTTTGACACAAAGCCAGACACAGAGTTCTCTCCTGGCCATCATAAACTGATAGCAAACACATTGGGCAGTCATGCACAGAGAAATACACAAGTGTAGACAGAGGCAGGGGGCAGATACAATCCAAACACATATACAGTGTGTACAAATGCAAACACACACACACAAGTGCTGAGCTTTGAGTTCAGTTCAGTTTAATTGAGGGAAATGAAATCACCGCATATGACAGCCACAGGGACCAAAGCACCACATTTAATTTGACTCAGTGTTTCCTGCCACTTAAATAATGAACATTTTGGGGGGAAATGAAGAGTAAACATACAAACTGGCCTCTCTCTGTAATGCTCTCCTAATAGCTTTTGGCCATAGTTGGAGGTCAAAGAAAATTAATTGGCCTCTTAGCAGTTCACTTTGTTCTCCACTAGTCTAACAACTCATGTCAACAAGCCTAACGGGAGACCAGATTCAATTTGTTGTAATTATCCTCCACCGTGACTCAGCCAGGTACCCCTGAAGAGCTGCTATACCTAATTATAAGTGTTCAGCATGGTTTAACACATCAGTCCGTCACTCTTGAAGCTGTCTAATAGGATGGGACAGTGGAGGACGGATTTGGCCTGGGAGAAACCGAATGTGGTTGCCTTGGTGATGCTTGTGAATCTCTTTTCTTTTTTTGTGATTTAGCAATTATGTCAAGTACCCAAGCAAGTGCAGAGCAATGATAAGAACCTAACAGCAGAAAGATGTTAGTGATTATGGGATGAGGAGCTTTTGACACAGTGGCACAAAAGCTGAGAGTGAAGTGTTGCATTAATAAGCAAACGCAATATCTGAGAGAATGTCTTGTTATCAACAGCACAACACAGCTTTTAAAACTTTCAGTGGGGAAATTTTATCTTTTGTTTTAACAGCAACTATGTGGGTTATAAACTGCATAAATATAATCACAGTTTTGACTAATAAGTCTCAAAATAGGAACCCTTAAATTCTACTGTTTCAGTCACCCTGCATTGTTGATCAATGAGCACTGAGCAACTCACCTTCTGCCTTGCAGGTCTTAGTAACAGGGTCCATCTCATAACCTTCATAGCATTCACATTTAAAATCCCCCTTGTAGTTGATGCAGATCTGGCTACAAGCGTCAGGGTTCTCACACTCATCAATGTCTGCAGGAAGGAGAGGGAAGAGAGGTTATCATTCAACGGAGAGACAGAGAGAGAGAGAGAGAGAGACAGACAGAGAGAGACAGATAGTGACTAATTCACCCTCGTGAGTGGCACTAGGTAACTAAGTTCTTAAAATGTAAATATGGGATTGATTTTCTGAGAATAACAGCTGTAATGGATGAATAAATATGCACATTTATAACTGCAAGTGCTGGAGAAACACACAGACGTGTCGTCATTTGCAGTTAATGGGAAGAAAGATGTCGACAGGGAGACAGGGCGTATCCCTGTTGACTTCTCTGTTCTGCTGCCTTCCAGCAGATCTCAGGCTTTTTCCTTCGGTGTGATGGGGAAACGGTAGTGTTAAAAGGATGAGGAAGGCTGTGAAGGACATAGTATGTGTGTGTATGTATGTGTGTGTGTGTGTGTGTGTGTGTGTGTCAGAGAGAGAGAGAGAGAGAGAGTAGTATGAATGTGCTAGTTTCCCTGTGGGAGTGACAGGCTGGGCACATTAAACAAAGACAGACAGCTAGAGAGCTGAGAGCTGCCCAAAGCAATACACCACAGACATACACACATACACACATACTCACCATCACACACACAAACACACACAGAGTCATAGTAGCTCTGTCAGCAGCCACTTTTTTTTTATCTATCTGTCTATCTGTCTTTCTAGATAAAGTTTTTTAATTTACCGCCACAAGTCTTTTTGTCCAGTAGCTGGTAGCCAGTGGGGCACTGGCACTCAAAGCCGATTGGTCGGTCCATGCAGACATGGGAGCAGCCGCCGTTGTTGATCATACACTCATTCAGCCCTAAGAGACAAAGAAAAGAAGCCAGTGGTCAAATGCAGCCAATCACAGAAGAGTCAGGAATATTATAGTTGCCCAGTAGGTCATTTAAAAGATCAGAATTCGAATTAGAAAAAGGCCTCAGCTTCATTCACCATAAAATATTTTTGTAAGAGCAGTGAGATTTGATAAAAGTGTGTAAATATGTCTGGCACATAGGTGTGGAAAATGGATATCATCTTCATAATCTTCCTTTTATCTCAACACTTGTACTCAGTTCTTTTCCCTCATTTCTGAATCCTTATCAGATGTTCTCAAAAGTGAAGAAAGGAATCAAAGAGACACAACATCACACCCGGTAAGCTCTTAAACCGAGATTCAGGTCCATCTGCACGGATATGAAATATGTGTGTAGAGGGGATTAATGCTGTGAACTGGGATTCTGAGACGTCCAATAAGAATCTATCACAGGAGTGAGTGAGGACATCTAAATTAAACAGGCACACTGCTCAAATAGAGACAGAGTGATGTAAACGCATGCGGAGAATGAAAGAAGCTGAAAAAAAAAAAACAAGATATAAAAACACAACCACTCTCAGTTGAAACTAGGTCACAGCATCTGTCAATAGGTTGGCAGTTGGATTTGTGCTGCACACAATGGCTTTATGAATTACTTGACAGCATAAAGGGCTCAAAAGTCACCGGCTGAAATTTTATGGTCAGTTTTTTTTCTTTATCTCCACCACAATTTTGCTCAAAACACATTTGCTCTAGAAACTGCATACGCAAGCTTACACATACAGTAGCATTTCTGTATCATTTCGCTGTTGCGATGACTTGGTAGTAGCAGCTCTTCAGCACACTTTACTTTCCATGCTTGGTTCGAAAAAAAATGAAAACAGTTTGAATGAGTCACAGAAGGTAAGCCAACTGAGTGAAAGCTACAAACACCAGACAATAATTCTCTCCAACATTTCATTCAACAGTGCTCAGGCATTGCTTTTTACACAAACAATTGAGCATAGCTGCACAATCAACAACTGGAAAGGGATGATAAACAAAAAAAATGGTTAAACAGCAAGAGAAACCCCACTCCTCAATACGAGAGAGTGCTTAATTCTGTCAACAGCATCCTATCCAATCTAGTGTAACACATTTGTCAATAGCCAATGAGCTTTATTTCATCAGTCACTGAGAGCGTGTGTGTTAGTATCTACAAACTTCCCACTACCATGTATGTGTATATAATGCCTCTTTTTATAATCTTCTTCTTTATTTATATTTTTCTCATACTAAGTTTATTGTTATGCACCAATATACCAAGAAAAAATCCTCATATGTGAAAACCCATATGGCAATAAAACAATAGTGATTCTCATTGGTTCCAAAGTGAAGCGTTATTTGTTGAATATATAAGCAACAAACTGACAAAACTATATATTTCTACATTTGTTTTTACACATTAACGCTTCCAGTGTTATATTCTCAAAATGTTGTTAATATATTTGTATGTGAGTAAAAATATGTTCATATTATAGGCTTTTTGAAAAGAATTTTTTGTATTTAGCCACAAAGTTAAATAGTTTCTTGCTGGGAGTTAAGCTGGTTGCCTGAAAACCTCATAGCAAGGACAAGTTACTACATCTGGCAGAGAAATATTCTAGCATATAACTCCTCACAACAACACAACAACACGTTTTTTTTATTGTTTTATGGATTAAACAAACAAGATATAACGTGTTACTTATTGAGCTTTAGAGGAGCAGGAAGGTGGATTTTGTTACCTTTAGACTGAGCCAAACTAGCCATTGCTAGCCTCTGTGCTAAGCTAAGCTAACCAACTGCTGGCTCCAACTTCATATTTATTGTACAGACATGAGAGTTGTCTGTTGTCAATTTTATCATCTAACTCTTTGCATGAAAGCAGTATTTACTCAACAAAAGAAACTGACAAGGCATGTGTCTAGCACAGCTGCCATGTAGCTTGCAATGCTACACGAGACCCTGTTGGCAAGTGCTGTTAATGTTGTTACACACTACACAGTCACAAAGAGCATTCATGCAAAATAAACTCTGTGAATGCTTTGTTTTTCTACAATTGCAGGGAAGTTATGCTGATGCCATTTCTTGTGCCTAGAAATAAAACGCAGACCTGGGAATTGTGGTCCACATTCACTCAACAACACAACACAAAGTTAGACCCACTAACAGCAATACACTGAATACAGGGATCCAATATAACCTGTTCATCTCATCCATGGGGCTTTGAGGAAAGTGAAATAAAAATAAAGAAAGAGAAAGTTGACTCTCCAAAGACTGACTGAAGGTTACTTTTGTGGGAAAATGTTCAAATTTGCTTTGTGTAAGTGCCAGCAGGCTCTGAGCGCTGCAACTGCCAGCATTAAATTCCCATCTCTAATTCAGCAATCTGCCACTCACAGAAGCTCCCGTTAACTCCCTTCATGTCAGTTCAGAATTAACTGCAGACAGAAGAAAGACTGTGATGTAGCTGTATTTGAGGGTTCACTCATTCCTGTTTCTTTGAGAGGGGCTGGGTGGGTAACAGAGATGCCCCAGGAGAGGCCCTGCATGACAACAGCTTTTTCCAGGCCGCTTGCAAGGACAACCATGATTTAGAGGTCACTTTTCCCTTCCCATGGGCAAACCAGCATGTCATCTCTCCTTCTCTTTCCCACCTCCGTCTCTCTTTCTCTATCTCTCACCATGGTAACCCATTATGTACTACCTATTTTCAGCCGTTCCCCTCAGCACAGGCTGGAAGTGATGGTGCAGTGTTAAGAAATGAATGGTCTGCCAAGTAATGAGTCAGTACTGTGGTAATATGCCATTATTTCTAATGAGATGGGAAACACAGAAAAACATTTGCTTGCACACAAAGAGAAAGGCATTGTTTTTATTTTCCCCTGATGTAAGGCTGATGCTGCAAATGCAATCACACTGAACATCTACGTACAAGTGTGTTTCAGAGCAGCGGCTAGTATTATTGTCTTTCTGTGTGTATTTTTGTGTGTGTGTGTTTTGGTTGGGAAACATCTTGCGAGTAAATGGTTGAGCAAGCAGAGCGATGAGCTAGGTGTGTGTGGACACGCTTTTAATGAGCTGAGAACAAGACCTGTGTGGGGGGGGGGGGAGACATATTGGGAGAGAGACAGAGGAAGAAATGGAGGTAAAGGAGAATTACTCTCTGGAATACCTGTTTCGGTCTTGCAATTTCCGTCCCTGGCAGAGGTCAGTCTACTCTGTCAGCTGTCACTTTTCACTTCTCAACTGTATGCTCCTCTGAGGAAATGTCATTTTATGAGTTTATGTCTGCTTGTCACTCAGAAACGTTAAGAACTTACTGAGTTCTTCAACACAGAAGGAAAGTAATAAACACAGTGTTCTGTTTCTTTAACCCAGACATCACTTTCATTTACTTGTGGTCAATAAAATAGGTTTAGAGATGAAGGAATACAGAAAGGAGGAGAGATTATTGCAGAGGAGAAGACACCTTTTTCTACCGCTTGATGGTAATTAGTACATGCAGGCACTTGTTCTGATCAACGGAGGCTGCTACTAATTTGAGTGCGCATCCGAAGCCTTTGAAATGGAAGGTAATAGGAGGGAGGTAGTCGCATTTTGTTATGGCAAACACGATTATGCTGCAACATTAAATGCTTGAATCCCTTTACAATAGATATGTACATGTTTCCTCATTGGACGGGGCTGAGACAAAAGCTGTGCTGACACACACATTTTCCTTCATTTCATACTACTGGGATATTAAGAAGTAGAAGTACACCAGACGAAAAGTAATAAATAAAGTTCATTTGTATCAAGGGTAAAATAGCTTTTGTCAACAGCTGACACAAGGTTACAACCAAGTAGGTGTGCAGAAAAAGCACTCTTACCGCACTCTTTCTTAGGCTCATCTGATCGGTCCTTGCAGTCCTTGACAGAGTCACACACCTTGGAGCTATCAATGCACTCTCCATTTTTGCACAGGAACTTCAGGGGTCCCTCGCATTTGGTGGCTGCAACAGAAAAGCAGAAGATAAGATCAGCATCTACACTATAAATTGCATGAACATGTATTTGCGTGAGTTATTGCAAACTGATTCAGAACCTCAAAGTCAAATTGAATATCTCCAGTGGTTCCCCAGATTATTGAAGGCATCACATGAAACAAGTGGCAGCCAAAAATAATTTTGCATTATGATGGTAAATTATGCATCATAGTCAAAAGAGGGAGAAGTAATGAAGAGAGGGCTGGATCCACACAACATAACATCAACGGTCATTATAGCAGTTCATTCCATAATAATTTATGTCCAGACAAATCCCACATAAATGTATTTAAAGGACAGTTTTCATTAAAACAAATCCTATTTTTGATTGTGTTTATGGTCTGCGAGTCTCCTGCAATAGCCATTCGTGTTTACATTCTGTAGTCTTCATTGTTAGTGGTGGGGTCTGCCATCCCTAGACGGGATTAAAATAAATATGTATGTAATCCATAAATCATTGATATCAAACAGTTCACTTTTCACTCACTGTACACAGTATCAGAGCTGTATTAAGTTAATGCTAATGCTAATGCTAATGGAACACTTTCTACTGGTCCTGCTTCGCGTTAAAAGTGGTGACCTGGCAAAACACGCAATGCATATGTGATGGAGGTTAGCGCTAAATGCAATCATTGATCAAAACATTACAAAAACATTTCTTCATTTTATGCATTTTTTAACAGCGGATGAGTTTTAAATATTGAAGGGAGAATGGAACAAGAAGCAGAAGCCAGAGCTAAGCTGTTAGCCAGGGTGGGCTAATTCAACCTGTTAGGAGGTAACAATCACCTTCTACCATGCTGTGCCATTGCCATCCACAGCATGAAATCAGATTGTAGTTGACCCCAGTCAAAAGCAGACTGGGGTCTGATGGAACTATTTATTGAGTTCATGTTTGCCATGGGTCCTAATTTAAAGTATCACACACTATCAGGGGGGTTGGGGTACTGTCGGTCATTTCAAAGACAGATGCAGGACAGATTTCTGTGCATTTCCTCATCCCAGGAACCCCAGTCGGTAGTCCTTGTATGTGAAATATGTTGGTAGGATGAAGTTTAAAACAATGTGAGGAAGTTAAGCTGAACTGTAAACAAACACCTGTTGCTGTTTCTGACAAAGAAGCTGTTCAAGGAGTGCAGTTGCTGTTGTATTACAGTAAAATTAACTTCTGATATCAGGACTTTGAAATTTCCTATCCATCAATTTCCATTGCACTTTGCATCTGACATTTATTTCCCTTTATTTCAACAACAAATACAGCTGGGAGGTTTTGGTGAACCATATTATACAGATCACCCAGGTCCTGTAGCCAGAAAGTTGTCATTGGCCATTACAAACTCCCTCTTGTTTTAAAGTATTTCACAAAGGCAGACAAGTGCAAAAGGCAGAGTAATGCTGAATTAAATATGAATAGCAGGCAGAATGACAGATTCAAACACTTAAAAGAAGAAGACAGGTGAATAGGCAGAGAGGAGGACGAATTCTGGCAGCCAGACATGCAGACAGTGATGACAGGTGTACCCACCATTGACACAGCCAGATTCATCGCTGTGGTCAGGACAGTCATGGACCTTGTTACACTGCTTGGTGCCGTGAATGCAGGAACCGTCACCACACTGGAACTCATCTGGACGACATGTCAGCAAGGCTGTAAGAGACACACACACACACACACACAGAAACACACACATGAAATTGGACTTTTTAATCTCAACAAGAGGAACACAATATCCCGGGACTGAAATAAAGACATTTTGTTGCATTTCACTCCATCGGTTTCAATAAAGACATGCCCAGAAGCGTATTTAAAAAAATAAAATGTAGAACCATGCATGAATTTGAAAATATAGCGCAATAACATATACAATAATGTCCTTTTATCCATTCACAGCCTGTGTTAGGTGCTGCCTAGGACAGACAGAGTCAACCTGAGGGCGTGTGATGAATGATTTTCAATATAGCAAGGCAAAGATGGAGGCAGCATGAAGCCACACCAAATTTCATTAATAACCCAAGCACAGACAAGCTTTTCATCAACGGGGCCCAGTCTGCTCATATAACTCCTCTCTAAACCACACTAAAAAGCAATATATATGACTGAGGGGGATATGATTTAGTGTTATCATAGACAGGGTTGCTGTAGCCTGGACACACACGTGTAACACACACATATGCACATACAAACACAGAACTAGGAGCATACTCTCTATACAGTCTGTCTCTGTATCTGATTTGCCAATAACCTAGTGCTGCATACAGACACATGGACACACAGTGTATTCATAAGAATATATATTAATGAATCACAATAAGGTTTGTCTTGGCCAAAGATTCCGTTTATACAGCAAAGCAATCCTCATACAGACACAAAAGTTAAGTATGTGAATAGTGGTGAAGGTAGAGCATAAATGTTTGCACAGCGGCCTCAAATACGGGGTTGTGCCTCTAACAGTCTACAGGCCCCTCTCTTAAAGCAGGGATCCAGTTGGCTAACAAAACATCAATCTCTTGTAAGTGCTGCTTATATGACACCACAGAGTGTGAGAGGTGGGTTTGATGTGTGCACCGCACATCTTGATAATGAATAGTGGGACTATCTGGGCTTCACACTCTGGCTTAGTGAGGCAAGAGCTTCAGGGCTCTCCCATCCATGACCAGCTAATAGGAAAACCTGTTTTATCACAAGGCCCCATCTTCACACAGTGTTTATCAACAGAAACACATTCTTTACCAGACACATTTAGGAAAAAAACAAACCTTACCCCAAAACCAGCACAGGGAAAATGTGCTAAATGAAATATTTTCCCACCCTCCAGTCTCAAAGCAAACATATTTATTAACATACCGTCCACAAAGAGATAACGTAAAATAAAACTGACCTTCAGTGTAATTACTTTTCTGGAATTTGATTGGTCTGAAGCTGTCTTTGAACAAGACAAGCATAATAAATGTAAAAACTCTAGATGCTGAAATATTCATAGTGGTGATACAGTATATGCAGAATCAAATAAAGAAAAAAAACTCAAAACACTAACCCAAACACACCATGACCTGTTAGATTTAAACAAGAAGAAAAGGAGGTTATGTATGTAATCATGGTTCTATGGGCAGCCTTTGAGCTGGAGGGATGTGCTGTGTACCAATTTCATCCTCCATACTGGTCTTATAGAGAATGTACTGCATACTCACTGTCATAGTATATTTTATCTTTGAAGTCAGTATAAAAGATTCAATGTAATTTAATGCTTTGTACGAACAGGAGATGCAATGCAGGAATTCAATCAAACAAATTCAATGAACTCTTTATAGATTTCATACATATTTTGTTATGCAGGTATAAATAGCTGGTCCGTGGGACTATAGTGTATATTTCCAGTCAGACTACATACTCAAAACCTGCTTAGAATCAGTATGCAGTATGGAATTGGGACACAACATGGGCCTCCTCACTCAGAGAACCATGGTTACGTAACGTTACGGAAACTATCCTTCAACCCACTTACATGTAAAGAAACCCTTTCAGAATAATAAAAAAAGCAAATGGATGCACAAGAGGGTAGACTATGAGGGGCGGAAGGAAAGAGATGCAAAGAAAAAGCAGAAACTTACGGCAGTCGGACTCATCAGACTTGTCCTTGCAGTCTGGATCCCCATCACACTTCCACGTCAGCCGCACACACTCTCCATTGGCACAGCGAAATTCCCCAGCAGTGCAGTTTGTCCGGCGGTTAGGCAGGTATGGGACCCCGTCACCACCGCAGCGCTCCGGCCCCTCATCCGAACTGTCAGAGCAGTCCGGATCTCCATCGCAGCTCCACATGAGCGGCACACACTCCGAAGTGTTACAGCGCAGATGGTTGGGTCCACAGGTCAGAGGGGAAGTACACTTGAGCTCATCGCTGCCATCTCCACAGTCGTCGTCACCGTCACACACGTAGACTGTGGCCAAACACTTGCGGTTGGAACACATGAACTCACCACTGGGACAGGCTTTGGCATCTAGGGTACCAGCAGAAAGGAACAAATGAGGGCATCTTCTGTCTTACTGTACCCACATTGAAGCAGGGAAGGTGTAACATTTAGTTTGAATTACAGTTTTGTCAATAGGCTGTTAACTCTCCCTTAATTGCTGAAAAGTGGAAATTTAATGATTGTGTTTAGAGGCCTGCGCTTTAAAATGAACTCAAATGTAACAAGCAATTTCACAAACATAAAAAAAACTCACAGCAGTGTTTCAGTTTTTGCTCACAGTGGATGAAATAAAAGAGGCTTTAACATCGGCTACAGTAGTAGGTAGAGAGAGAGAAAGTTAGACCAGAAGTGAGAAAATGATTGGCTTTAAATACATTCAAATATAAGGACACCGTGACAGAAATAGAGTTTCCCAGGTAGCTTGAAAGTCAAATATTAGTATTATAACTGGGGAAGAGACAGACAGGAGCTGCTGGACAGGCAAAGAGGGGATGACGGTGGTTATCACAAGGAGATGGCGAGTGGCTTCCTCTCCTGTGGAGCTAAAGATAATAAAGCCATCTCTGCCTTCTCTGTGACGGATCTCTATCATGGTACTTTCTTCTCTCTTAAAAGATCCCTCTCTTTCTGGTGTGTTGTTTTTTCTTGTCTGTTCCCTGGCTCAGCTCTCTCATGTCTAGTACAACAAGGAGACATTGGTTTTATATGCTGTTACTTTTTTCCTCCATTATGATTGGATTTAGCTCCTGTCTTATTTATGGGCTATAACAAACTCAGTTACTAAGATGTTAAAGCACCAAAATCTGTGTTCCAATTACAGGAACCAGGTAGGAAAAAAGCCATGGCTAGCTGTGGCTATCTCACCTGCCACTTTAACTAGCCAGTGCAGCCACTGCACTTTGGTTAGCTTAGCTCCATTTGTAGTTGCTTCTTTCTACATTTCTGTAAAATAATATATGTACATATATATTGTTAGTTTGTTTTTTGTTATTTGAAAAAGTCAGAATTTTTGGTTTTGACTAACTTTTGACTAAATACTTAGTTACTGCGTTTTTTACCTCGTAGGGCAGCACTGACCTTGTTCCTTACTGCATGAAAATGTTTCTACGCAGCAAGAGAAAGTTTGCACTGCACCTCTCCTCTTCACATGCCAACCTCAAGCCTCATGTAAATCCGTTTCTCTCTCTCTCTCTCTCTCTCCCTACCTTTTCCAGCTTCCTCTGTCAGTACTCGTGTCTGGCCAAAAGCACTCGGACTATGAAGAGAGTCAGGGTCCCCACTGTGAGCCCAGAGCAGCACAGAGGCCAACACGGGCAGAAGCAGAATTTGATATTCACACAAACCACAGGGAGTTCAGCTTCAACGACACTGCCTCTGGCTGTTCAGGCTGGTTACAGGAAAGGATTGCTATTTTAAAACTCAGAATCAGAACTTTGTAAAGTGGTAGGATATTGTAATTGACATGCAGGAGAAATCTCACATTTCCCAATGATCAATTAGTTGGTTTGTCCAAGAGTCAAGATTGTGTTTGCATACAGAGTTATTTTTAGCTGATAGTCATTTGTAGGTCAAAACGTTGATCAGATTAACCATTAGTTAAAATAATGATAAACTGGGTAGCTGTTCTTGGATGTTGGAAGCTTCAACACTAAATTCGAACAGGATCAAAAACAGATTCAGAAAAGAGAGAAATCAAATATCATAGTGGAGTGGAAAATCACAAGCATTCACACGTGCTGAGTTTAATTGCGTGAGCAAACATCAGATGCAAGATTGTGTCCTAATTACTATTTTATGTAATTATACCATATGTTAAAGACACTATCTAGTTATTCCATTGCAAACATCAGTGTTTACTTAATTCACTAACAAGGGTCATGGATTCAGTTCAAAGTTTATATTCATTAATATTAAACAAGCTCCATCTGATTCTGATGTGTTTTATAACTACTGTCCCCGTTATTCCTCTACCCTCACTTCATACTAATTTGGCACTAAATAATTAAGGGGATTCAACAGACATGTACATTATTACACAAGGGGCAGACCATTAGTAATGTACATGAGTAACCTGATGTAACCAGGCCACTCATGTACAGAGAGACTTTGTTTTCCAGTGGGGGCACTGACTAAATGAATCTTAAGACTTTTGAGCAACTTGGAGCCCACAGACTGTATAATGTTGTACAAGTCAGTGGGTTTTAAATGATAAATAAATTGCAAAGGGACCCAGCACTTCACTCAGTGGGTTGAACCTTCAAATGTATTATCCATTTATGTACATAATTTGGAATGACTGTTTAAACAAAAGCAGGAAAATAACATGCTATACACCAAACGGATGTATATCTATACATACACTGCATGAACAGTATGTACACTATATTGTATGCATTTTCTGCAGACACAGAAGATAAAACAAATAAAGACACTGGTGAAATAATTTGCAAATGATTAAACACAGCAGACATCTCATTGGTGTTTTACTTTCTGAAATTGCTGATAGATGAGCAACTTTTCTGATCCTTAATTTTATTTCTCAGTTGACTTTTCCTGCAAACTTAAAAATTTTCTCCAGACAGGCTAGCTTGATGATTGTTGTTATTAAAGGACACTTACATTTTGTTTGCTAGAAATAATGAATAATACATAATTACATAGGAAATTGGCTATAATGTCAACTAATAAAAACTTCATTAATATGCTAAATTCACTCACACAATCATATATTGCTCCTCTTTCAATTCCTTGGATGGGAGAACCTTTTTTATGACTACCGCCATGGTAGTCAGAAGCTGGCAGCTTAACCCACTTTACTTTTCCTGGCAGCTTTGGTGAGTTGTTGCCAGCGGCAACCAGTGACTCAGATGTAGAGTCAAGAGATGACTGGTCGTTCTACTCACATTAGCATTACAGCTGATGACTGTGTGTGCGTGTGAATAGTCGGGATGCACAAAGAAAAGACACAATTTTTAGCGCAGGAAGAGGGAAAGAGGGAGATAGAGGAGGAGTGAGATGAAAAGAAAAACCTCCAGGTTGTGTGTAAGCATGCAGAAACATTATTTTTGGTACACGCGCAAATACTTTTGAGCACATCAGTCACTATGCACCTTAACGTCCTCTCAGCTTGCTCATAGATATTCATAGATTTCAACTGAAGGGACAGTTCAGACCTGTCTACTCTGCTCAGAGAGCTGAGGTCCACTGCAGCCACAGCCACTGCAGCAAGGTCACTGGAACACACACATCCACTAAAGACAATCCTGGAAAGGTAGAAACACACACACACACACACATACACACACACACTCTCCCACTGCCTGCCAGTTCAGACGGGTCACACTGTCTCACCAGGAAAGAGTTCGGTGGCTGACCTTTCCTGTGATGCCACACACACACTACAGCAAACACAGCTGTAATAGAGAAGAAACAACTGTCTCATCTAGGGTGACAACCAAAGAAAAGGTAACAGAGGACAAGATGGGGGGTTAAAGTGGAGGCAGTTTCTAACCTCCGCTCTGATATCATTACTGATTGAGAAGGTTAGCTAACTGAGGGGGGAGGGCAAAGGAGGCACGCAATGAGTGCTGAGATGTTTAAATTCGCTCACACTAAATCAGCAGAATGACAGGAAAGAATTTTGTCAGTGGAAGTAAAATGTGTGAAAGCTTCATCAGTGGGGATGCACAGTATCTGCTAGTTCAGCTTCACTACAGGGGCAAGGAGACAGCTGTGAGGAGTGCAGGAAGTAATTGTTTGCCTCGTACTATGCAAGCAGCTTTAAATATGAATCAAGAAAAACATGCCAAAATACAACCTCACAGAAATATTATATGCGCTCACCAGGCAGTCAACTCTGCCTGACACTGAGTGCAAATGCAAACACACGTGAAAACACACAAATCCAAAGACCGGCTCCTGTGCCTCGCAATAGATCCCAGCAGACAGGCATGCTCAGGAGAGATGCCTGCTGGAGTAACTGCACATTAATCTCCACATCGCTGAGGGTTGAGGACAGTTAAACTTTCTCGTGGAGCCTCTCTAGAACTGCTGCTTAATGTAATGTTGATGAGGAAAAGCTTCCTCTAGTGAGGGCTAGATTCTACTTAATACATAATTCAACATGTAGATGACTCAATTAGCAGGATGCCTCTGCAAGATTTGCTTTTTCAAGTCTGCGGCAGGCTGTGCACTCTGTAAATTTCTACTAATAGTAGAGCGCGCTGGGGCTAACTTGGTACGTTCAAGCTCTGTCAGTTTAGGGAGTGCAACCTCTCTACTCACATTTGGGTAAATATGAGTGAAATGTTTTGCTCACAGTAAGCAGGAGCTTGAGCTTGTTTATTTCTATGACTTATTAATCAATTTTACTGTATATCATTTTTTTTACGAGTAGCATACAGGGAACTACAACCTGAATGTCATTGTAAGTAAGTAAAGTTAAAGGGAAGTTATGCTTTACTGATCCCTGTAGGGAAATCCATTCTCTTCATTTGACCCATCCTTAATATTGGGAGCAATGGGCAGCCACAGTAGTGTCCAACCTCAGATCTGAGCATGTACCTTGGTAAAAAGGCACTGACTGGAGAATTAACCCTAATAAACATGTTTAGATGGTAGAGAAAGCGGAGCACCGGAGGAAACCAGCAAAAACACAGGGAAAACATGCAAACAAAAACGCACTGCCCCAGCAGGGAATCCAACCCAGGACCTCCTTGCTGTGCAGCAACAGTGCTAACCACTGACTGTGTCGCCACTATACAACCCTGCATTGTGAAATGATGAATTAAAAAAAAAGCATTTGTGTGATAGACAGCAAAAGAACAGACTCACACTGAGGGTGCTTTCACAACTCATCTGTTCTGTGCAGTTCCAATCAAATCTGGTGTGTTTGCCCTTCTGGTTAGTTTGTTTAGGCTGGTGTGAGAACTGTCATTCAAACTCTGGTGTAAATTCAAAGAAGAACAACCTAAGAATTGTGGGATACTGAATTTGTGAGACTTGTATGAGTTCGAAGGCTTAACTAAACAAATTCATGCATTCCTACTGTTGATCAGGAAACTTATGAAGTAATCAATTATTTGTACCAGATCAATTGAAAATGGGTTTGGAAATTAAAGGCGTGTTGTGCTTGTGTCATACTACATGATTCTCTCATTTCTGTCCTGAGTGTTATCCTGTTAATCATTATTTAGCCAACTAATAGTTCTAATAATCAACTATTACCTTGTGAACTTTTTTATATCACTAGAGAGAATAAATTAAGCCACAAGCTGCAGTGACGTGGAGCATGAATGGATGTGACAGTCACTGGAATAAACCTGTTTTGATTTCCCCCAACAGGTCCACACAGCGGTGCAGGCTGCCAGGTCACTCAAACTGAACAATAAATTATTTATGTGTCAGTACATGTGGATTCATGTCTATAAGTTTGTTTTAAAAAGTAATTGTGAAAGGCTAATTCAAAAATGTGCAGGTGAAGGTAGAGTGTGACTATTTGAAAGCATGCCACAGACCTTATAGTGCGGTGCAGCAGTGTTTATAACTTCTGTCTCATAGGAATGTGAGAGGGCATGACTGTGGGATCTTTGGTTTCTGAAATACCCCAGATGTCACCAGACTATATACAGGCTAGAGAGGCTAAAGAGCATGCCAATTTATCCTTCAATATTTTGAATTAACTGCACCCAAAGATGATTTGGAACTACATTTGCAGCCTCACTCACTGATGTTTGCAGCTGAGCCTTTGCTGGCCGCCAGCAGCAAAATGCAATTGGATACATACACTATGCTGTTCGTGAAATTGCTTTATTGTCGATTTTGTACGATTGCTGCTGCATCATTTTACACACCTTTATTCATTCATCTACTACCTCTAAACCCAAACATACAGCTGAGTTAATGCTGCTTTGAAGTGAATTCTCCAGCTGCCCCTGTGCCAACAGCTAGCCCGCAATGAACACACTGAGACATACTCAAACCAATTGGTAATTTCCACCATTTCTCCCTGGCCTCACTTCATGACTGTAAATGTGAAAGATCTAAAACCTTCTGTCTGCAGTACTTAAGAGTAATACAGCACGTAGTCCTTTTCACAAAAGGCAATTATCATCTGCGACCAGCTCTAGAAGTCATTTAAGTTTGCATTTACAGAGGGTTTTTGTGTAATTTACAATACTTAGACCATACAGCACATTCAATGCTGAGAACGCTGATTTTGAGTCTGAAAAACATAAGATTAGTCTCAAGGACAATGATTTGAATGTAATTTTCTTCTTATTGTTTATTCTTATAATAGCCAAGCATGGTCAGCACAGCATGAGTAAGGGCTGGCTAGGTTAAACAATGCAAGACTCCTTGGTATTGTTAACCTCTAATAGGAGACAAGGTGAGAAATTGGCCAAACAGGTTAACCTTACTTTTTTCATAGAGCTATATGAAGATCTGACTACTTCCTGCATTGGCATTGGTATTAAATTTAATGAAGCAATGTCCAATATGATCATTCCTTAGGACACTTGGCTGGACCACAAACATATCACTGAAGAATCAATGCTTGGTACCTCCTCAGATTGATCTGCAGTGAGGTAACATTTAAAAGCTTCTTGCCCTCGATTTAAGCATCATCTTTCAGGCTGGCATTGGGCCTAATCAGTCTTCAGATAAACTGGCTTTAGTAGCACTTAATAGGCCTAAATTGCGATGTTATCGAGCAACTGTGCTACGCTGGTGTCAGAGTCAACTTCTCCCTCCCAGTCACACTGGGGGTGGCGTTTACCTCTGGAGGGGTTTTGGCATTTGCCTGGGTGGGCGGAAGCCTGCTGCCTGCCCCCATGTCACTACTGAGAGGCTTAAGACTGCCGCATCAATACAGACATTAGAATGAAAAAAGGATTAGCACAGGCTAGACTGGGTCTCAATGGACAGTGCAGTGAAAAGCCACCTAAGCTAGGAAGGCATTAGATCTAAAGTCAATGGAATCACTACCACTTGGCGTGAGCGTGTGGGGCCACTTTGAGACAGGGAGTCATTGACAGGCCACTGGCAGGCTGATTCAGCAAAAATATCTTTATTGCACGACAAATTAAAAGCTCTTGTATCAGGTATCTTTCAAGGAAGAGATGGTAGATATCTATTCAAGAAGACAGTTTCTCTGATTTATGTTTTAATTGTTTGCCAAATCCATTTGGCTTCTTCTCTAAATAGAAACTCAAAATTGTGTGTATTCACAGGAAATTAACATGAATTGCTGAGACACCAGCCAGTCACAATCTGAACACCCACACACTCGCAAACAACTAAACAGGGAGCAGATGCCTGTGAAAACGAACAACATCATTTATATAGGATAATAAGGACAAGGCTTTTTTTCTCTCTCTGTGGATTTTCCGCCACGTGCCATTTTGCACATCTTCAAAGTCTAAATGCCACACCCCCTACAGCTCTCTTGCCTCAATCATTTTATTTTTTTTGACGTGAAGTGGAAAGGGAGAGAGGGAGAGAGAGAGAGAGAGAGAGAGAGAGAGAAAAGAAGAAGCCGATTCTTCATGGCGCCTCAGAAGTAGGGCAAGGATAGTCCCTGCAGGGGGCTGGGGGTGGGGGCAGCGCACGGTTGAGTTGTCTGATTGGCTGGGTGATGTCATTTTTGATGGTTCTGAGGACCCTGCGGTGGAAAGGCTAAAGACTCAAGGTTCAACATGTGATGACAGAAACCTTAAAATATCAACAAAAAGCTGCGAATTTCTGATACTCCACACCAAGTATCATTCAACATCAAAGGGGACTTTGTTGTCAAGTGCAGCTGGCTTAAAACTCAAACCTCACTTCAAAACCCTCTAATTATATAGTGTGTTCCCTGCTGCGCTTTAATGTCTCAAGCCTCTGGATGATAAGGGAGATCAGAAAGGATGAAAGCCAATAAAATACAAAAAAAGGAGTGTGTGAGCCTCGTCAAGTCATTCATTTCTGCACATCTGTCATTGCCACTGTTTGAATTTAAACACAGTTAGCAGTAAACCAGCAGAAACAATGGTTCATGTATTTAATCTGAGTTTATTTCCATTATGGTAGCCGGCTTTGACAAACTCACCAGACGCGCAGTCCTCTTCATCCGCCCCGTTCTCGCAATCCTTCTCCCCGTCGCATCTCCATGACAATGAGACACACTTGTTGGTGGATCCCCCACAGTCAAATTTCTCTGGAGGGCAAGTCTGTTTGCCTGCGGACAGATAAAAGAGATAGGGAGATTACTGCAGTGGTTTTATGGTCCCATAAAGGCAGCAACAAAAACATCTACAAGACACTGCTGGACTTGATTTCTATCGTCCCCATGATGCAGTTAAAACCCATCCAAAACTGCACCACTCTGGCCAATTGATTTTACTGTCTGGACTGCCTCTAAAGAGACATGCAGAAAGATCATGAAATACAGCAAATGCACAGTTGGCTGTAAAGCAAAAGAACAACTCAGCCCCCCTCCTCCTTTTCCTGCCAATCTGCTCTAGTTGGCACAGTGTAGGTTTGATCCAGATTACACTGCGTTTAATATGAAGCATGTTGTTAATTATACATCTTTGCTTACAGTGCAGCCTTAAGCCTCCCGGAATGAAATCAATGGGTCAGCCTATGCAGAAAATCCTTTATGTTTTTGATGATTTTATTTTCATATTGAATGTAAGAACAATGGTTCCCAACACTCTTTATTACATGTACCCACAGCCCCCTTCATCAACACCACCTGTCATGTTACATGTTCATTTTAATTTTAAAATGATTTTTAATTGTATTCTATTTAACACTATTATTTATATTAAAGTGGATATTGTTCAAATATCTTTTCCTACAATTCATTGTTTAGGTTAGTTTGGTCAAGTTTGTAATTGAGCTATCACCGCTAAGAGCAACAGAAGCTGGACGTTTCAACCAAATCTCAACTATCATCTGTTTAAGGTAACCATAGCTAACTATTTGATCTGTTCATTTATTTTAGCATTAGCATTAGCATTAGCATTAGCTCTTGCTAATCACAACACATAGTATTCAGATGGCACAGGAAAGTCTATAACTATATATTTTTTCATCAAATTGTAATTTCTAATTTTTTTTTTAAATCAGTTGTGTGACGACCTTTGTACGCACACCCTGGCAACTGCAGAAGTATTAACTTAGACTTTCACCACCCTTTGCAGCTGCATATCAAGGTTGCCTCTGAGACCTTTTAATGTTTTTAAATTAGCTAACTGAAACAAGAGCTCACTTGTTACAGCTGACAAACAATGCAATAAGAAGATCATTTGTAGCGTGCCGACTGAGAACACGCTCCATACTGAACATCATTTATGAGGTTACAACAGACCCTCTGATGCTGTCACTAGTAATGTTAGGTGTAGACTGTTGTAGGTAATTGAACCAGACAGGAAGACAGTCTGCCAAACCATCTTGCTAAAGCAAGCACATCTGTTTATATGGAAATACATTGGTTAGAACGCTGCACTTAGGCTAAATTGAATTCCTTTTTATTTAATGTAAATTCAATATGCAGTAGTTTTTAATTATTAAATGAGCTACTGCACATCTTCCATGACAATGACAGGGTGTGTTTAAATTGCAGGGAGCATTTTAGTTTTTCCTGGTTGGTTTTTATGTCAATTTGTATGTTTAATTTGCTACAGTGAAAATTAATATTCTGTTGTATCGCTGATAAAATCATTTAGTATGAAGTGCAATGCTGTTTTAACAGTTACAGGGTAATCAACCTTTTTGTCGAAGTCAGAAAAATAATTCTAATTTGCCTTGTTTATGATTATGTGTTTGCATAATGACAATAATAATAATCTTTTTGTCTGTTCAAAAATCTTTTAATTGATTGGTTTCAGACTCGTGAAGCTATATTCTCTAACAAAAATAAAAAATACACTTTTCTAACAATAAATACACAAAAACAAACATTTTTAAAAGGATCTCTTAAAAACTGAAAGGGACACTCAGAGTTGAAAAATAGACTTGTCAGCGCTCACTGTCAGAGAAACTTTGTATAAGCTACACTATTTTTAAATTGTATCAAACTAATTTTTGGCATTTCATTTTTTATGGTTATTTTGTTGGTATTTTGGGGGATAGAGACAATGTGGATACAGAGAGGAAAGATACAGTAGGGTGTGAGAGAGCGGTTCAATATCCAATGAGGGTCCCTGGTTGTAATTAAACACAGTGTGATGTGCATCTTAACTGTTAGGCTTAAAAAGGTGTTTTTTTGGAAGTCTGTAGCAAAAGTTGGGCAGAAACTTTGCTGTCCTGACTTCACTTATGAGTTCATTCCACCACTGTGGGTTCAGAAAAGAAAAGCGCCTTGACCGAGATGAGCGACCACAGGGTCCTCAGAGTGACAGGGCAGCCAATCGTGCAGAAGCCGAGGAAGCAGAGCGCGATGGTCGGGCTACAGCCGAGTGGCCGAGGGTTTGATCATGGCTTGGCGGTATGAAGGAGCAATTCCTTTTACCACCCTGTAGACAGATCTGGAATAGGCTTGTACTAGCTGATATATCCACTTGGCAGATAAGTAAGGTAACCACACACTGGTAACCACCATTAGATGCCGTTTGAGTATGAAGGTACATTTTTCAGCCCTTCACTTGTGTATGTGTGACTGTCCCTGCAGCATGAAGGGGTGACAGTAGAGAGGAGGCTGGAGAGGCAGCTGGTGCCTGGGGAGAACCGGCAGCGAGAATGGCTGATGCAACCAGGTCCTGACCCCACACACACACACACACACACACACACACACACACACACACACACACACACACAAAATACTGGACACTGCAATGCTCGGGGCTGTTTCCAAACCACCGCCTCAGACGACATTGCAGTGCTCTACTTGCTGACATCTACCTACAATGATTTTTCAGTCCACAAATAGTGGTTCTGAACAAATTGCAGCATTATGTCGGTGAACAACAGCTTACTGTAATATACGCTTTGTCACTTCGCAATTTTATACAGAAATACTGTGCCGCACAATGCCCTGCTGTAACAGTGGTGCAATGAGTAAAACAGCAGCACGATAAGAAAGGGAAGTAAGAAGCGGAGTGATACAGAGCGCAGTTAACCTTTTCCACCTGCCAGCTCTTGAAAGGCTGTCAGGGATTTTGAACGTCTTATAATAGTGATAGTTCATTTCTTCTGTTTCTCTTTCATGTGTAAGGAGGTTTGGAAAGTGTCTTACCAAGGCACAAAAAACATCTAGTCAAGATATGTGTGACTTTGATGTTGCCTGCCTGTGATGTTTTTCACTCCTTTCCAGACACAAATGTCAACTGTTGAGTAAGCGAAAAAACTTAATGAAGACTCAAGAAGAAAAAAATGGAAAAGAATGACTCGCTAAAAATGAATGATTACAGCTGATTAATGTCAGGAAACCAAACAACTGGCTGGCTGGTCAGGGAGGAAAAGCAGGAAACATTTCTTAGAAACGTCTGAGATGAAAGAGACGAGGGATCTTTGAGAGAGGAAATTACATGCTGTCTGAATGAATTCGCACTAATGGAGGTGCAACGAGGACCTGACAGAAAACAAGAAACAGAAAGGGAAAATACAAGAAAGGGGAAAAGAGAAATACAGAGGGAAGCTTCAAAAGAAAAAAGAATCCATAAGAAGGGAGATGCGCCAAGAGCAAGATACTGTATGAAGGGGGAAACGAAGAGACAAACAGCTGCATGACCTTTCAGATTTATATCCTAAAGCAAAATCAAAGCCATCCATACCAAGTGGAAAGAGATGAAGGAGGAAAGTCAGGCAGAGCGTAGACCTGAGCAGAATCTGAATCCACCAAGCGGAGGGCGAGCTGTCCCCTCTTTTTAACTGATGACTCTTTAATGAAGCGTGAGCGCTGTTCCTCCCAAATCCAAACAAAGAAACCAAACTTCACTACAACCAAGTGTGTGGTACCTCACTACTCCTCATGACAGCTATTGATTAGTGAAACCTCAGATTTTATAAAGACATAGGTAATGGGTTTTTGCTTGAGAGGGAGGCAACATAATAAAAGCCAATTACTCTCAGACAAACCGACTGCCCAGCTCTTGTTTACCATCAGAGTGAAAAATGAGGATTCATCTCCGCTGTGGCGTTTTGGCAGGTTTGTTTAGACTTTATCACCTTTTACAGACCCAAGGCAGTGTTCATCCCAACACTGCAAAGGTGCAATAGCTTTATTTTTTTTTTTATTTGATCATCACGATTGACCTTGTTATTGCTGACAGCCTTTTACCCTAACATGGCTTTCAATGAAGAAGTGTAAAAAGCCTTCAATTTGCCAGTTGTCACCAGGCGTGAGGTATAACACTCTGATACGGAGGTTAAACTGATAACGAACTGCAGCTTCATAACAAATGTAATACTACATTATAACATGACATGGAGTTCCCAAAGTAATCATTTGCAGCCTATTCATATAAATTAATGTCTATTTTGCAGTTTCCAGTCGCTAATAGATATTGTACAGCAGTGATTCATCCCACAGCTTTTACGTGTGAATGTGTGCGCTCAGCATATTGTGACAGCCTGATTTGCCTATATAGCTAGTTCTAGTTAGTAACATGTGACTGTTAAATTCCTAAAATCATTAGTGAATAGTCCTGGCCCCATTTTTCAACAGCTAGAGTTAAAAGGCTTTGAGATCTGTGTGCATCTATTTAAGTCTGTGTACTGTAAGCATGTTCCCAGGCATGTTCAACTGTCCATCTTCTGATGGGGAAGGAGATAACTTCTCTGCCTCAGAGCCAAAAAGGCACAAAACACTCTGAGTCATACTCAGATTCACTGCTTCATTAAACCGGGTTAGCGTGGCCATGTCCTCCTCTCTGAATTATAGATCTGGTACAGCGGAGAACACTTGCTGCTTGCAAACTACAAGATGGAAAATTGTTATTTTCAGCAATGTGCATTAGCAGGTAATGTAATGTGGCATGCACCTCTGCTTAATATCAAGTGGTGTACCTGACCCCCCTGGGTGTGACTTAATCCGCTGAATAGAGCCAGGCTGATGTATTGGCAGTATGCCAGTCTGTCGCAGGGCTAACACAAATACACAACTGGTTCACACTTAACGGCTGAGGGGCTGTTTCGAAAAGTCACCAAGCCACCATTTAAAAAAAAATCATAGTTTTATTATTTTTTATGAAGTTATTGTTCAGACTTTACTGTCATCTAGAGCTGCAA